CCTCCTACTGGGTTCCCTTGTCCAGCCTTGATTTGAGGGTTGTGCCTGGTCTTGTTGTTTCTTGTTATGCTGTGTTCAGTGGATATTCTGGGAAGCTTGCTCTTTTTCTGGAGGGAAACAGAAGAGGGGTGGATCTGGGGAGAGGAGAAGTGAAGGGGGACTTGGAAGGATGGAGGGAGAGGAAACTACAGTCAGGATTATTGAAAACAAACAAAAATTTGTGATAAAGATGCTGAAGCGTAGCTCTTCACAGTTGATGGCTTTCAAGGGTGGTGGGTGCAGGACTCAGTTTTCCGTAAGGGCATGATCGCTGGGCATTTGACCATGCTCCAGTGAGTGTATGGGCAGCACAAATTGGGCTTGGGAGAGGTTGTTGTTGCTGTTGCTTGTTTGGTTTTTTAGGGGGTGCAAAGGTGGGGGGATGGACCTGGAAGGAATGAGAAGAGAATGTGATCATGGTGCATCGTATGAAATTCCAAAATAATTAATAAAACTATTATGTTGGAGGGGGACTAACCAGAATATCAAACATGAGTTCTATTCCCTAGAACCCACAAAAGAAAGTAAGACATGGTGGGGTGCACCTGTAATCCTGGTGCTGGGGAAATGGAGACAGGAAGGTCCCAAAGTTCTTCGAGCTACAAATTCAGTGAAACCTTGTCTTACAGTTAAGGTAGACAGTAACTGAGGAAGACACCAAGTATCAACCCCGGTCTCTACACACATGTGAACACATGTACACACACACACACACACACACACACACACACACACACACACACACACACATGACTCAGTGAGGGAATAATTGTGTGATTCTGTAGTCACAGTTCTTGAAAGATGGAAACAGGAGGATCAGGAGTTCAATTGCCATACTAGTTTGAGGCCAGCCTGAATCACATGTCTGAAAAATAAAATAAATGAATGAAAATGGACTCAGAAGGAACTTCATGGATCATCTCCTTAGGAACCAGAGAGAAAACAGTAGGTCAGGAAAGCAGCAAATGTCAGCAGCTGGAAAATGGGGAGTGAGTGATACTCTTTGAGTTAGTGTCTAGAAAGCAGGTAGGCATGGCAATGAAGGTTTGGAAGCAGCCATATGAGATAGGAGATGCCTTCAAAGAACGAGTCAGGAGACACATGCTATCATTTGGCTTCATCTGAAGAATAAAAGGAAGGGGAGAAAGGAAGAGTCATCCCTTTTGAGTTAGAATTCAGAATAGCAAGCTTAGCGCACCTGTAAGCAACTGCTTCAAGGACGGGCTTTGGGGTATGTAAGTATGTTATCTCATTCATGGGCTAAGTATTCCTCCCATCTTTTGACATGTCTTCGGATGTATCAGCTTTCTTGAGGATGTGGTCTCCTGGACAGATCATTGACAGGTCTAGAGGATAACTCTTAAGGGAGGATACAAGAGTATGTATTTGTAATATTGCGTTTTGGACAGGTTAGAATGTCATGTCTGCACCCAGGGCCAGAGGTAGAACTCAGATTCTACAATTGACCAGGAAGAAATCCCTTCCCTGAATGGGCTCGATGAAGCCCTGATGCCTTGTCTTCTACCCCCTCGTTTGGTATTTGAAATCATAAGGAGGAGCATTCTTGATGCTGCCCTTTCTTACAGAAGCAGGAAGACGGAACGCTCATTATGATAATTCAGCTTATCTTCAAAAGGCTTCTAAGTCTGCTAATGTCAGTCTAGCAGACTAACACCAAAGAATACTGTCCCTTGTTCCAGTGCTCTGACTTAAAGGTTCAAAACCAAGTGGTGGGTGCAGGTAACCTGGCCTGTGGTTGATGTTGCCATATCTAAAGGAACTCAACTGACATAATGGATAGTGAATAAACAGCTTTTGTACCTAATGCTGCAATGAGAGGGTTAATACCTAAAGATATTTGAATCTCTGTGTTCTTCCTCTTCTGCTTTTTCTTGTTTAGGGAGAATGTTCAGTGCTCATGGTTCAGTGCTTTCGGAATCGGTGAGACCAGGGGAAGAAAGAGGTAAAAATCCAAGTGATGAGAAGTATTTCCAAGACTTGCAGGAGGAACAAAGCTTGGAAATTTGACTATACATGTACAGACAATCTTAATTTATTACACTGTGCCACATATATAACTTGAATTAAACTCTTGTTATAAAATAGAGAGAGAAACTGAAAAGGATATAAATATGAAAATAAATATAGTTTTAGTAAGAGAGTAAAAAATTTAAAAAATCTGTAGTAAGGGTGAACTTTGTATAATAAAACAAGATTTTTTGTCATAAAAGTGAAAGATAAAAATTGAGAACATGTTTTTAAACTTTAAATCAAATTGTAGACAGCCTGAATAAATTATACAGGACCTGTGGATGATATGTTTGATGACTAAAGGTTATTAATTATGAAGCTCAAAGTCCAATACACTAATATCAAAGTTTTTAAATCAACAAAATTCTCCTAGGATATTGGTTTCTTGGTCTGTTAAACATTTCATCAATATAACCAGGGAAACTGAGTCTTAACAAGAATCAATATTTATTTAAAACTGTCTGGTGTTGTCTCTGAGCCTGATCAAGCTGTCATATGAGAGTTAACATTACAAGATTGGCAATGCTGTCCTTCTGGTTGTTCACCAAAAAAACTGGGAGTTCTACATCAATAAGGGCAAGGGGGTCTATGAAGACTGCCAATATTTTTTCTTTGCCCTCCAAGGCCAACCAGGGCCCATGAGACAGGATCAACAGAATGTGTAGCATCTTTTGAGGTTAGGGGGGAACCTGGTGCCAGGGAAACTCCCAGGAATCCACAAGAATGACCTTTAGCTAAGACTCCTAGCAATAGTGGAGAGAGTGCCTGAACTGACCTTCTTCTATAATAAAACTGGTGACTACCCAAATTGTCATCAGAGAGCATTCATCCAGTAACTGATAGAATCAGATGCAAAGATCCACAGCCAAGCACTGGACCAAGCTCTGGGAGTCCTGTTGAAGAAAGAGAGGAAGGATTGTATGAGCCAGGAGTTCAGGGTCATGACAGGGGAACCCACAGAGACAGGTGGCCTGAGCTCCTGGAAGCTCACTGACTCTGGACCAACAGCTAGGGAACCTCCATGGGACCAAACTAGGCCCTCTGTGTGTGACAGTTGTGTAGCTTGGTCTGTTTGTGGGGTTCTTAGCAGTGGGATAAAGACCTGTCCCTGGTGCTTGAGCTGGCTTTTAGGAACCCAATTCCTATGCTGGGTTGCCTTGCAACCATGTTGCAGGGGGAGGAGCTTGGTCCTATCTCCACTTGATGTGCCTTGCTTTGTTGACTCCCATGGGAGGCCTGCACCTTTCTGAATGGAGAGGATTGGATGGGGGTGGTTTGGGTAGAAGAGATGTGGGGGAGAGGGAGCAATAGAAGAAGAGGAGGGGAAGCTGTGATTGTATGTAAATGAAAAAATTGTAATTAAAAAAGAACATGTAGGCATGTTATTACAGGCTCTGTAGATATGCATGTTATCTTTAATGGAAAAGAGGTGCTATGGTCTGTATTCCATCTTCTGCTAACTGCAGGAAACCCCACAGAGTCCATGGTGGAATCAGTCCTGACAGGAAGCAATGGGAAAGTTCCAGATAAAGCCTGAGAAAAGAATGCACTCGACTAGGCCAGGGATGCCTGGGCATGACAGAATGAACTCACACATCATCTAGCTCTGACTCCACCTAAGCCCTGTGTCCATGAGTGGTAGGTACCTAACCCCAGTGGTGAGTGTGGTCCTCTTCACTCAGCCTACAGAGTCAAAAGTGCATCACTTCTAGAAACATCACCATAGCCACACCAGCATACAACATTTTACACGCTTTCTGGAAGCTCTCTGCACAGTTCATCTGACACATAAAATATCAGCTTTGGGGAGCAGATGAAGTCTAATTGGAGATGTAAGTTGTTGATATGAACATGTCTATGTCAAAAAGCACAATGCCTCAGCCCCAATGAGAATGGTAAGGCCTTCCCAGGTCAGTCTCAGAAGAAAGACAAGGCCTTCTTGTGGCCCAAGGACAGATGTTGAATGTGCAGAAAGTACCAACCACAGCTTCTTCCTCCAGGATGGCATTGTTAGAGACTGCTCCCCTACAGACTCTTATAGAGATTCGCTGGCATACCTCCTTGTTCACATGTAAATAATAAACCCACCTTCTTGTTCAGCTGTATACGCTGAATTTCTGGGTGGCTACTGCACCTCCATCAGAGTACACGGCCTACAGATCCCATTTTTTCTGTATTTGTTTCAGTCTTTCTTCATTTCCAGTTACCCCAGTCAGGTCCATCCCAAAGCATGCAGATCTTGGCAATCAATCATTCCATTGTACTCAAACCCTGAATAATAGCAGCTAATTACATTATGTCTACACAAAGCTGGGATTTGATTGTCACGGACTTATCTCTGAACAGTTCTCCAAGAATTGTCTGAATAACACAATATTAAACAGAGACACAGGGAACCTCACTGTCCAGGAGATTTGCTGACAGTAATTCCTTGGGTTCAGGATGCACAGGTCATAAAAATTAACAGAGAGTAAGGGTAAATTCAATTCCCTTTCTCCAAATAGAAAGGATTAACCAAGACTGAAGGTACCTACGCCAGTGGTACTTCAAGCCAGAAGAGGATATCAGAGACCCAGTAAAGACAATATCCTAGAAGCCTAATACTGACACAGCTGTAGATGTGGAGGTAGAGAGACCATCCAAAGCCCTTCCTGGGCACTTCCATCTGCCTCATCATCACTCATTGAGACCCACAGGCTTCACAGTTCAGAGTCCCAGTGAATGAGAGTCTACGAAAAAACACTTTATCCTCTAGAGAGCTTTGTCCCAGCTGTGAGGGTCTCAGATTAGAAGCAAGATATTTCAAATTTATTCTGGTTTCATGAGACTCTTCAGAGCCCGGCAGTACAAGTTCAGAGCTCAGACTCTTGGAAGCAGCTGTGACACTTGGTGAATTCAAAAAGCAAAAGGAATGAGACACAGCACAGAGCAAGTGTGTTTCAGACTTTATTGGAGATGAGACAGGCCTGGGGCAGCCCCTCCACTGAGAACAGGTTGGAACTGGAGACAGTATTGACCTTTAGGGTAATTTTGGGGACTAGAGTTCAGGGCAGACCATCAAATCATAGAAAAGGGCTGTGTGCTTGGTTTAGGAAGTGGGGAGATGAAGACTACATGGGCTTGACTAGAGCAGGCCTGATTAGGAATCAGGGGGCTGGCAAAGCCTTGTGGAGAAGGGAGGGGAAGGAGAAAAAAGCGAGAACCTTAAGGCAGCAGTGCAGAAGGTCAGCTGTCCCCAGAGCCAGGAGGATCCAGTGTGGACAGGTCCTCCCTGTGAGTGCCAGCATGGCAGGGGCCTAATCGGTGCCCCACTGGGCTATCTTAGTAAACACAGGTCTCGGGAGGAAGCGGCTACTCTTCATGTAGGCAGAGATCTTCTTCAGGCCCTGCAAATTGGGAAGGACACAGCAGGAGCTCAGGTCTGTAGCCTCTCTAGACTGAACAATCCCACAAGGAATAGCATTTCTCAAAAGCTCAAGCCCTGAAACACAGCACAGCAAGCTTAGCTCCCACCCCTGGGAAGAGAACTCTTCAATTCCTATAATGCAAGAAAAACTAGACCCTGTGAAGGTACTTTATACCCACTAAAGGTTACAATACAGGATCAGGAAACACCATGACCAGTTATCAGAAAGCAACCTGAAGTCCAGAGAGGTTAATCACCTTCCCCTTCTCTCATGGTGGTGACCAAGACAGGGCTGGAGTCAGCCTGGTTGTGGGGCTGACATTCTCTCTCTCCCTCTTCCTTACCATCTCTACCTCTCCCTTTGCCCACCCACCCACCAGAAACCCCTGAACAGACATTTCACTGAAAAGCACTTTCTAGCTTGTATTTGCACACATAGGAGGGATGTAATGGGAAGAACCAGGAAGAGAGGGGACATCAAAACAGCCACCAGAAAAGGGCTGAATGAACATCATCCTAAATGATTTCCTGGGAGCAGAGTTGACAGTTCTTCAGTTGGTTCCTATGTATAATCTCAATGCACCCTGGCTGTCCTCATCTGTACCCCCAATACAGGACCACTCCATATGACTGTATATTGTACTATAAGCCACACACCAAGACACAGACAACTCCAGAGGGTGCAAAAAGATCCACCACAGGCTGACTATACACACAAGCTGGGCTGCTCTATTTCTCCATTCACTCACCCTAGAGCCAAACCAGCTATTGGGCAGTCCCCTAGGACACCCAGCCTGGGCCAGAACAAAGCTGATGAGAATTAATTGGGAAAGTACATCTTTGATGGGGAATGAACAGGGTCAACAGATAACAGGTAGAAAAACCCTTGGATCAAAGCCTCAGATTCCCCATTGTAGACGGCTCAGCAGCCATGGGGAGTATCAGATGCATCTCACAGTCTGGGTTTCTACAGCTCTCTGCTGATTCAGCCCCAAGATTGTGGTATTTGCACCCCCTACCACCACCTTTGGGGATTTTGAAGTAGTAAATTTTGCCCCATGTGATTTCCTTTAGTCTCAGGTTAGAAAAGCATCGTGGAAGAGAGGAAGGCCACCCAAAGGAAGCTGGATCAGAGCATCACCTCAAATCGGGCCAAGAAGTCCTTCAAATTTGGGAAGGCATCCAGGCAATTGGGCTCAAACATTTGGTACTGGTCAAGGATATCATAAGCGAGGAAATCCACATAGGTGACCTGCAGGAAATTGAGGGTCAGATCATTGGAATCTGGCAACCTGGGAAGAATGACAACTCCCCTATGCACCATGCCCCAACCCTTTTACCTTGTCCCCTGCAAACCATGGCCGCTTGCCCAGGAACTCAGAATAGATTTTCATCTTCTCAGGGATGGCCTTCAAGAACCCTGGCTTCTGCTTCTCCTGAGGCATAAAACAGCTGCCATCACCCTTAATCACAGGCTCCCTGTCACAGAGGCCACTGGCCTTGAAGGGCTAAACTCATGAGTTATCACCACCATTTTATTAGTATCAGATGGCATTTGTCAGAGGTGATGGGAAGACAGACAGGAATGCTGCATTGTCCCTAAGTCTGTCAGCACTGGTACCCTGGTGCTGTGAGTCACATCTAGGAGTTCCTAAGTATCATGGATGTTACGGTCCAAGAGACCCAGTGAAGCCATAGAGACAAAGGATTTATAGATCCCAGGAGAAGACAAAGTTATACTGGGGTTTCTGGGGGTGCATAAGAACAGATAAGATATTTGAAGAGCATGCATCCTATTTGAGCAATCACTAATATTGAAAAGAAGGTCCTCTCATCAGCCCTGAGCTGCCTCCTAGGAAGATGTCCTGACCCTGACTGATGCCAAAGGCAGAACTCTTGGAAAGTACTGGGTGTGTGGGGGACCTCTAGGAGTCTGATTTTCTTCTCTTAACTAAGGTTGATCTGTAGTACCCTTGGGGAGCTACTGGCTGCCTCACTGCTAGGTGCTATTTCCTTGTTTTGCCTCTTCCTGACAAGGCCTGTTTACAAAATATACAGAGTATCTGCATATTGCCAGGGTCTTAAGAGCTTAGACCTTGATCTGAGTTACTTCCTAGGGTGCTGCTGTTTGTATATAAGTCAACTCCCCTCTAAATAAAATTGGCATTCTTCTTTCAAGAGTGACGGGCTGTCTTGTCTTTATTAAATCCACAGATCCCTCGCTTGAATCCATAAGAAGTTGTAGCGCTGGACACTACATGGGTGTATGTGTGAGAGCATTGCGTAAGCCACTCCCAAATCTGTGCATCCTATCTTCACAA